TTCAGAATGGTCAACATGAAAGCAGCTGTATTTCGAAATGCAGCATCAAAATATCTTGAAGACATTCAAACACTTTCCCAAGCTACAATGGGTGCAGCTAGCTGAAAATGAAGACCAGCTTCCGATCTCAGATTTCATGCATGGGTAAAGATGACAATCAGCCTATAAAGAGACTTACACTTATGAGTTCTTTGTTTTAATGCATACATAATTCAGCTCTGCCTCCTACCTGAGCTGCCAGCTCTTCATTTTTTAAGTCTTCCTCTAACCCCTGAGCCAGCACAGAATAGTGCAAAGGAAGGTTCTTCTCATCTTTAAGGGGTGCCAACTTTTCTGTTCCAGTTTTCCCATGTGGTTGCAGAGAACAAGAATATGAAGCTCCTCTCAGAGAAGAGTTTTCTTCATACACATTCATCTGAAGCTGATTTCCTTGTTTAACTGCAATCTAAATAAACAGTATAGAAAAATCACCATATTTACTGCACTTACAACCAACACAGAAAATCCTGTAAAATACAGCACCACACTACACTGGAAAGGTTGGTGAAAGACTGACACCCAAACCAAAGGAAAATCCAGTGAAATGCCAAGGCCCAGTCAGCTATGTTTGATATTCTGTTCTGCTTTTCTTAAAGGCTACCAATATGCTTATTAAAAAGTTGATTATAAGCAAAAGGAGGAAAATGCAGACATTACTGCAGGAATTTTTCACTCTACAATAAAGCTGCTCACATGAGCAATAAACAACAGACATTCTGCCCCGGAGCTTACAGCAAGCTGTAATTTATGCTTATTTTGAAATTATTAGCAGATTTGAGGAAAGAGCTGAAAGCATTAACACAGCACAGCTGACATGTAAAGGAAAGTGATTTGTCTCTGTAAAATTAACCAATTCCAATTGCAGAAGGATGAATATGTTGGAAACCAAAATCCAAAGAGTCAAAGAAAGCATTTACCTTCAGAGCTTCCTCGTATTCCTCTAAAGAAAAAAAAAAGGAAAGAAATGTGAATTTTCCCTGTCTCAAGCAGCATAGAAGCTTAGCACACAGTATTTTGGAACCCCTACATTAAGGAGCACCTCCCATACCTTGTGTAAACCCTTTTACTAGGGCTACTAGAAGCTGTACATACAGCAACAAGCAAACATATTCTAACAGCCAAGAGATTTTACATTCCATTAATTCAGTCATTTCCAATTTGGTCCTACGGATTGAAACCTCCTTCCCTCAGGAAGCATTTGATGCCCAAGCATACACATAACCTAGAAATCAAAGAGGAATCCTTCTCAGCTGCTTCTCCAGAAACACCAACAACAGCTGGGGTCTGGTTACCAATTTCACTCCAGTAAAGTAGCAGCTCACCTTTGCTGTTCACAGAGACCTGCAAAGAGAAATAACAGTAATAGACATGAATGTATTTCTACAATTCTCTGAACATTAACATGCTTTCTGAACAAATGTACCCACTCCTTCAGGTATTTGTTACTGCTGCCACCTTTAACCATTCCTCAACGTTGTGGTGCTCTGGAGCAGAGCATGTTCTTCATTAGATCTGTGCACTAAGAAAGGACTCTGCACCTACTAGCAGCCAGAATAAGCATGATCTCACCTACTGGCAGTAAGCTGGCACTAGTACTGCTATACAAGTAACAGAGAGGGGGGACCCAGTTACTTTTAATGCCCAGCTGTAAAGCGTTTCATGATTTAGATACAAGCCCAACCCATCATCTACAGGTGCTCATTTATCCATTCTGCACACAGAAGTTACTAATACAAGAAGCTATTTAATCACTACAGCATTGCATGATTCACCCTATTGGTATTTTAAAAACCTTTTTAACAGATGCATCTATATCCTTATAGAGATACAGGCTGGAAAACAAGGGGACAACCTTTCCCTGAAGTGTTTCTGGAAGTATCTTGACATTTCCCCTTTGGGGAAAAAGAAATAAAAACACAGATCCCATCTCTGCAATTTAGCAGAGCTGCAAACCAAGTAATGGAACACAGAGTTTACAACAGTTACATTCTGTTCCAGAGCTACATTCTTCTTTAGATAACCAGAAAGAATATGAAAGGGTGAGGTTATGCCAAGCAGGAAGTTACTCAACAGAGACAACCAGAAGTAACCAATTTGTTTTCTGAGTCAGTAATCTGCTTGGAGATTACAGCATTTGCATAAAACAAGCAGAGGATTTGAGTACACCAGATCACCGAGCTGAACATATGCTCATGACGGGGGACCTACATTTTTCAGAGGCAAGAACAGATTGAAAAGACAGGGCTTTCTCATGGCTGTAAGCACCGTTACCACCACTTTATTCACGTCAAATGACAAAGAACAATTCCCCAACAGAAGCATTTCTCCTCAGAGCACACAGAATCACTGGCTGTTTCTATGGATGGATGGGATGGAAAAAAAGAAAGGCAGCAGCTTCTAAAAAAGCATTTTAAATAAGTATGCTACATTATGAGTGAAGCCACAAAGCTAACAGCTATTTTCTTATCAAAGGTGCAAAAAAACCCCCACCTCTGATGCATAAGATACATTCCTGAAGGACCCACTACAAATTATCAAGAGGCAGGAAGGTTCATGCCACTGCTGGGATGGTGGAGTAGAAGGTATTTTACCTCATCACTATCCTCATCAATGTATTTGATCTGAATGTTGTCCAGGTCAAATGAAACTTTAACCTGTAAGGAAAAAGGAGGACAAAACCAGTGAGACACAATGAGATACGACTACAGGTGTTTTCAGTTAACCATGATTAAGGCTTTAACCCTCCAGACCTCCCTTCAGTTTCTCCATCGAAATAAACACTGTCCTACAAAACCCATTCTGGAGCTGAACAACTCCTCCCAAGGCCTCCAACCTTGACTAACTCCTATAATGAAAAGAAAAAGCTCTATTTCTTTCATGCTTCCCCCTTCCCAGTTAATCTTTACCCCCGGAACACGCTCAGGGTTAGGAGCTCAAGCATGCCAAAGGCGCCTAAAGCCAGCAATCCCAACTCTGACATTCCAAAGCATCAAGAGGGCAGCTCATGCAGGCGATCAGTCTCAAATGAGCCATAAACAAAGGCACTTTTCACCCCCACCCCCCCATGTCGAATAACAGCCTTGGAGGCTCACGTACATTTGGGTATCATTTACCTACCAAGTTGGACTTTTCTCCATGGAAACTCTCTCTGAAAGCCTGATATATTTGACACATGCTCTGCTAGCCTGGGCCTCACATAAGAACACCATCAGCCTTAGAAGGCAGCAGATGGTTGAGACCTACATAGCACTTCAAGGCCATAGCTATGTACATTCTGCAATGAACGTGCTACACATGGGTTCTTCCAGTGGTACATCCCAAATTAATTTGGGAGTGCAGCAAGAGAAACAACTCAAGTTGTCAAGAAGAAATCATGGTCTGCATCTACACTGGCTAGTACCATAGACTGTTCCCTTGAAACTTAAAGTAAAACCAGAGATTGGGTCATCCCTTAGGAACAACAGACGTTCACTAATGTACTAAAACACAGGCAACAGTTTAGCAGATTCTATCTTGAAACAGTAATTCACACAGCAAAGTGCACAGACACCCCATGGTACCACGACAAACATCACTGTCAGGGAACACCACACCTTGCACAAACACATCCTCAATCTTAACAGCAACGCTTTGCTTACAGAGCAATCTGCAAGCAGGGTTCTGACCAGCTCAGCCATTCCTGCAGGGTCTATTTGCCAGCACTTCAGTATTTAAGCCTGACCTACCACCTCTTCCAGAAGAGTGAAATACAGCGAGTGAAGACGATGAGGCTCAAGGTTTGAATGAGTAATTCACAATGCAAGAACCACCTACAAGGTACACTGGAACATATTAGCTACATGCCAAGAACTGAAAGAGAGAAAACAAAACACTGCCAAGATCTCTTAAGATGTAACTTTTCAAACTCTGCAGCTTCATTATAACCAAAGGAATCCTTATTACATCCTTATTATAAAGGAATCACAACCTCAGCCAATACAGGCCTTTTCACTAACACTACAAAGGAAACCAAACAGGACCTCTTCAAGATACCAAATACATGACACACAGACCTCCATAAGCAACTGTCTACACACACATGACCCAGTAACAGTTATTTCCAGATTAGCACACACAAGGCACCAGGAAGCAAGAAACCAAAAGCCTGGCAGTGTCTCGGTACCCAGAGAGCAAAGATCACCCTCCGGAAACTGTTCTGTAAGTACCAAAAGGGTGTTATTTCACCAGATCTACTTCCATGAGGAAAAGAACGGGAGTAAGAAGACCAAATACAGGAGTACAATGCCAAGAATCCGTAACTGTGGAGAAGAGCACAGAGCTCGCAGGGAAAAAACAAGTGACCCGTAAAGAGCTTTACGCAAAAAAAAGGCTCCAAAACACTCCCAAGTACGCAATAAATACAAAAGTTAACGTGAACGCCAAGAGCAAAACTGAGGCCGCAGCACAAAAAGCACCAGCCTGTGGAACGGGGAACATGGCCCCGGCAGCCGAGAGCGAAGGCGCTGGGACCCCGAAGCGGCGCGAACACCCGCAGCTCGCACGGCCGCGGCCCCAGGGCGCTCACCATGGCCTCCACGTCGGCCCACGTCGTGAGCGCCGGATCCGACACGAGGAAGCTGCGGGTGTCGCCGCGGCAGGTGACGCGGAGCTCCACCGGCGGCTCCATGCCGTGCTCCCCGGGCACCGAGCCGCACGCCGTCCGCCGGCCCGACGACCCTAACATGGCGACCCGAGCGCGGCCAGCCTCCCGCCCTCCGCGCCACGCTAATGGCTGTTTCTCCTGCCACTCATCCTCCTCGACACTCTGATTGGCTGGTAGCGGGGAGAGGGCGGGGCCATGCGCTGCGGGACCACAACAACAAACAGACCGGGGGGGGGGACACGCACTTCCGAGGCGGCGCCGCAGCTCCCATAATGCAGCGCGCTAGGACGAAGCACCTGAGGCGGGGCAGAGGGGAGAGCAGCTGAGCCAATCAGCTTTGCGCTGCGCCGCTCCGCCCCGCCCCGGGGCCGGGAAGGAGCTAATAAGAGAATGTTTTGCTCCCACGCGCAGTGGACTCTGGCATGGGATTGGCTGTTCAGGTGCTGTGGCGTCACGGAGTGGCGGAAAGGGCGCGAAATGCGCCGCTGTGGGGCGGCTCCTGAGGCGGGTGGCGGAGCGGCTCCGGGGAGCGGCGGGGCCTTGCTCGTGGCTCGGCAGCGGCCCCCTGGGCCGCACCGGCGGGGCCCGCCTCTCCCTGCGGCCGAGGGACGGTGCGGGCCGGGAGACCGGAGCGAGGCGAGCAAAGTGCTGGGCCGCTTCGCTTGGGCCTGCTGAGAGCCCTCTGCGAGGGACCCGGCCCTGCTCCCGCCGCAGCGTAAAGGTCAAGCGGGTTTTGTTTGTGTTCAGGGCTCGTGGTACTCGCGGTACGGCCTCACTTGTGCTGGTCGGGGTCGGGAGCTCCCAGGGTTCTTTCATGAGTACGGCTGCTTCCTCCTTTGCATCCTTTTCCACAGAGAAAGCTTTGGGGTTTTGCTGTTCTGCTTAGGTGTGTTCGCGCGTCTGTGAACTCGTCCTGTTTGTTGCTTTGACTGCAAGAGACTTGACAGGTTTTAACTGAGCAAGAACTACACAGATGCTGTAAAGCCTTGCTCAAGAAATAGCAGCCAAGCGTTCAGTACTGTGTTATAGAAGAGTCAAGGTACAAAACATTGTTCATGGGATGCAACAAATCAGAAACAAAGCTGTTTACTTCTTTTCTGTAGAATATTTCCGGCTGTGAAAGATGGACTTCTCAGCGATTGCTGTTGGAGATGTGCAAAATGTGCTTTCTGCTATGCAGAAGAACTTGGAGTGCCCAATATGGTATGTCAGGAGAATAACATGAATCTGTGTTGCTACGGTTTGAGGCTTTTGTTTTTCTCTTTCTTTCTTTTCAAATGCTTTGGAAGATTAATGGGTTATCAGAAAATAAAGAGAATTGAATTTTAAGAGTCCTGTGGGCTCCTGAACTCACAAGAACTGCGCTGTCCTTCGCTCTTGCCGCAGGAGGTCAGTGTTGAAAAAGGTGTTGGTGTTCTAACACCAAGTTTCCTGCCCTGCTGAACTGGCAGTTTATGAAAATGCAGTCTTTCTGCCAGTGGCAGACAAAGACTGAGAAGAGCTGGTAGATCCATGTGTATCTCATAATAACAGTATTTGTTACCATACCTGGTTTTCAAGTGAAAAACTGTCAAATGTTTCCTAATTCTCTTCCCCACCATGATTTTTTTCTTCTTAAGATCAGGCAAGTGACTATTTCTGAATCTTCTTTTGCTGTTCCTGGTTTACATGTAACTTTGTGCTCTTGTTCTCCTTCATTTTTCTCTTTGTAGCTTGGAGGTGATGAAAGAGCCGGTCTCAACAAAATGCGATCACATATTCTGCAGGTAGGATTGAAAGCTTGCGATGGCAATGCTTGGCCCATCTGTTCTTAAATCTCAAAATAGATTTGTTTAGTGCTAATGTGGTTTGTGTTTTGATAATGTAGTGTGTAGCTGTTTGAGGGGGAAAATCCATTCTGAATGAGAAACAACTGCAGTTTTATATGTGTCAAACACAACTGATTAATTTGTCAGAACACCAGATCAAAAACCCAGGCATTCAACTTGATAATGAAGGGTTTCTACTAAGTGCTGTATGGATAGGATCAGGTGTAAAACAAATGAAATTCTTCCCTTTTGTTGCCATCATGATTATTCTCTTTTCCACCAGGTTCTGCATGTTCAAACTCCTCAGCAGAAAGAAGAAAGGTGTGACAGAGTGTCCACTGTGTAAGACTGAAGTTACCAAAAGGTAACTTCATCTTTTCAATTGGGCTTGAGGATAAGAAGTTTCAACTCAAACTAAAAGTTAGTCATTGTCCTAAAAATGCCTGAAATAATCAAGAAAAGATGTTTTTTCTTAAGGTAGCTGTTACCTTCTAAAGGAGTAACTCTTACTGCCTTCCCCCAGTATAAACCCATTTCAGGTTTATATGCAGGTGAAGACACTGTTCTTAGCAAATGTTTGCACTGTCAAGGGTAGGCTGTGTTACTGTTCAGTCATTACAAGTGGTTTCTGTGTGCTAAACCTACACAAGGAAAACTATGACATCTTCATTTTGTGATAGTTTTAATTCCTACAGTAAGAGTTGGTTTGGGGAATCGTGTTGTTATTCTTTGGTATCAATTTCTCATTGTCCCATTTTCCACTTTGGAGTTTTACTCCTTTTTTGTTCAGCCAGAATTCTAGGAGAACTGTTACCATACATTTGTCTTAAAACAATTTCTATGGTAATGTTATTTCAGAAGTCTGAGAGAAAATTCCAGATTTAAGCAGCTAATTGAAGGATTGTTGGAAACTATCCATGCGTTTGAGCTTGACACTGGAGTAAAATGTAAGTTGTATCATCATTATTTGCAGGGTATCTCATTTCCTGTGCAGTTTTCAATATGGGAAGAACTAGCAAAAGTTGTTTTTTTTTCTTGGATGTAGAAGCATATGTTCCGTTAATTTTCCATCATTTTTCTACAACAACCTCTTGCACAGCGTAAAGGGGTTTTACTGTGCATTTGATGACTGACCAATCTTATTTTCAGTTCCTGAAATATGGTTGAATGTGTATCAAATAATCTTTAGAAATGTGTGGCAAAATCCTGTTCTTGATTATCATACAATCATCAAATCCTAGAATGGTTTGGATTGAAGGGACCTTAAGTCTCATCCAGTTCCAACCTTCTGCCACAGGCAGGGACACCTTCCACTTGAACAGCTTGCTCCAAGTCCCATCCAACCTGCCCTTGAACACTAACAGGGATGGGACAGCCACAGCTTCTCTGGGCACCCTGTGCCAGCACCTCAGCACTCTCACGGGGAGAGCGTCTGCCTAAGAGCTCGTCTCGGTCTCTACTCTGGCAGGTTAACACCATTCCCCCTTGTCCTGTCCCTACAGGCCCTTGTCCAAAGCCCCTCTTCAGGTTTCTTGTTTTCAAGATGCTGTTGGGGCAAGTGGTGGGTTGTGGGGTTTGGTTTGTTTCTTCCTTATCAATATATTTCGCTGTAAAAAAGAGACTTTCCAAATTCTTTTCAACTTGTTCAGTCGTTCTAAAATGACCAGTGGTAGATCCTGGTTTTGCTGGATTATCCATAGTAGCAAAACTGCTTGGCAAAGTTCTTTGGTGAGATCAAGATTTTACTTAATACTTGAAGAGAACTCCTAAACAACAGTCAGACCACCAATTCAATTGGATTTCTTTCTCTGATAGCTATATTTTAGCTGTATGTATGCTGGTTGTATCTGCTCTGTTTAAGATTGCTCAATTAATATATAATACCTGTAGTCATGCTCAGTGTAAGGAAATATTTTTGCTTTTTATTTCTTATTGCCATTTTTCAGTTTTAAACAGTCGTCACTTTCCTAAACCATCCACAGAAGCCACTGCTGCTGAGTTCCCATGCAAAGAGGGTTCTGTCATCCAAAGTAAGGGCTTCAGGAACAGGAAAAGTACTAAAGAAAATGGACAAGAAAACTGCACCTTGGTATTATATTTTTTTCACCCATTTTCTTGTGGATTTCACAGTGTTTTATTTGGAATGTGTATGTGTGCGTGTATATAAATGAATGGAATAGGAGAATTTGCTTTGTTTTCAAATCACTCTTTGACTTGAATATTATTTCAGGCAAGGACATCTAAATATTTTTGTCTTCCTAACCTACTTTCAAAAGTTTTTTGCATGAAATGACCTGAACTTAAAGAAAATACTGCCAGAAAATACTCTGTTACCCAAAGCTTTTTCATACTCCTATTTAATGAGCTCTAAATATTAGTAGGCTTTTCAGTGGTAGGACCACAACTATGTCTTAAGACTTCTTAAGCCATTACCAACCCAGTGTGATTGCTGCAGGTAGGAGTTTTTTCATGGTACATTGATTTCTAGTCTCAGCTGCTTACTACTGAATAGAATGTTAATCCAATAAGTTATATGTATTGGATTTTTGTATAGAAACTGCCAGTTTAAATACTTAGTTCATGTATATATATATATATATACACATATATATAAGCCCCCCACCCGCTGTAGCTTAAGTAACCTCCACTTATTTTATGAAAAAAACCTACTGTTATAACTAACTGCTCCTTTCTATTCTCCTGTCAGCAGGAAGCTAATGTGGATACACAGCTTACAGATAGTAGGGTCAAAAGGAGGTCCCTAAGAAACAAACCCCAGAAGTGTGGCTCTCAAAAAGGGATTTACATAGAGTTTGGTAAGAGCTGTTGTTGATTTACGGTAGTTGGGCTTACGTATAGTGCCTGCAAAGTAATGAAAGGCAGTGAGGTTCCAAGTCTTTATAAACACGTATTTCTCCTTAACACCCAAAATAAGGATGAAGGGACAAATTGTGACAAATCCAAATTGGTACATCAAAGGGCTTTTTCCATAATTTATTCTGTTGTAGGAAATAATGCTGCTATAGTAAACCTTTAAGGCTCAGTGTACAAGATCCAAAGAAGATGCTTACAGATGTGAAGAAAGTTGTTATAACTAATGGTAACTGTTGTTGTCTAAAGAATATTTTGTCACCAGTGCTTGAGGCTGTAGTCAATAACCAGAAGTAAACCTGAAATCTAATTAAGGAAAGAATATTTCCTTTCTCTCTCTCCTAGCTGGTGCTGACTGCTGTGAGAAACTGCTGTGCATAGTTCATTCTCTCCCTGTTCCTTCAGGGAAGGAATTCCTCCTTCTAACAGCCGGTGTTCATCGCTTCTCTCTTCCTTACCGCTTCTGTCACCATCAGGCAGAGGACCCAAAGCAGATACTCAAATATATTGCTCTGTCTTCCAGTTCAAAATTCTAAATACTAGTGGCTATTTCATGTAGAAATGCAGAAATTGGAAACTTAACTCTTAGCTAACTAACCCTTACTAGCTGTCTGTTACCAGTCACTCTAAACAATTTTATGCTGGAGCCATGTGGATATTTATATGTAGAAATTATTATAATGAGGTTAAAATACTATAGAATTTAACTTGATTTGTCTTATCAAAGTTGCAAGCATCTACCTCTAGAAGGAACTAAGCTAAACATTGTTTGTGGCAAGTCATCTTTCTCCAAATCATTTCAACCAGATAACAGCTGATTTGGTTTTAGGCTCCGATTCATCTGAAGAAGTTTTTAAAGAGTCAAGCAATACTGGGTAAGTAACAGTGATTCAGGAATTCATATTTTCTAAAGATGTAGTCTCATTTCTATGTTTTCATTTCTTAGCACAGGACTAAGAGCATTCTTAACCTGACAAGTGATTTTCAACTTTCAGAGGCACTAGGGCAGAATGGGTGGCTGACTCCCAGCAGTTTGTCATATAATATGCTTTAAAGCTGGTTTATAAATGTTCTATTGCTCACCCAGACATTAAATCTTCAAGAGAAGAGCATGTCTCCTGTGCTTTTGAGTGTCAGTATTGACACTCAAAAGCATAGGTTCATGAAGGAGAGAGGATCTTTCAAAGAAACGGCCCAAAACTCTGAAGGGATCTAGTTGTGGTGAGTGTCAGTCATGCAGTCTGGCTTCTCCAAAAACTGCTTCAGAGAGCAAAAAGGGAAGAATAAGTATCATCTTCTATTATGTCTATTGTTTCTTTCTCTGTCATAAAAGTAGATTTCCCTTCCCAACAGCTTAAAAGACAAAGAGGCACTTCAGATTTCAGCTCAAGAGAAGTTAGAAGAACTTCAGAGTGCTGAGATGGAGAATGAATATTCTCCCAATACACAGCGTGACAAGCTGGCTGCTGAAGAAGTAATTCTACCAAATGTCATAGGTGTGTTCATTATTTTGGTTGCAAAAATGATTAAAAGCTTGAAAGAAAAGACCACAAAGTAACATTTTGATTTCACATTATTAAATGTGTACTTGCAGTCTTGTCTGTTGCAGTTTTGATGCCTGCAGCTAGTGACACCATAATACAAGACTGTACCTGTAGACTAAATACTTAAAATGTGAATATTTTAAGTATATATACAGGAACAGAAGAGGGGGAGAAAGGACCTTAATCAAATTGCAAAATTACTCTATTCTCCATCAGCCATATTATGCCTTTTAATACTGGCTGCTAATTCATGTAAGAAGTTGGATGAACATCTTCTCTCTAGAGGGAGATGAGTGCAGCATAATATTCTGGTTTGGGGGAAATAAAAAGAGTTCTTTTAAAACACAGTAACCATTAAGTGTGTTCTTGTGCCTCTGCTTGTAAAATAGGGTTTAATAATTTCTAATACCTCTGAATCTTCAGGTGAAAGTAATTCCTCAAAGGAAGTCTTGAGCAAGAAAAGCACTCAGAACATCACTGAATGCGCCCAAGCTGGCCAAGTGACTATGACTGAATACCAGAGTTCTCCTTTCAGTGTTCTTCCTGGAGACCTCCTCACGGAGCAGTGTGACACAATAGGTAATGCCAGTCCCTTAAGGAGTGGGGACACATCTTTCTTTAAGAACACAGAAGAAATGGATGCAGAGCAAACTCAGTACGACAGTAAAAGCAAAGAGTTTGACTTAAAAGATAGCTCAGCGAGCAGGTTGGATAAAAGCAAGGAAATAGATGTTGCACAAAGTGTGGAAGCTGTGGGAATGGATGAACCTGAGAATGATTCTTCCCATGAGAAAGAACTTCCTCTGGAGAAACTGCTTCAGCCAGAGCCGCCTCACTGTGCTGCCCTGAATCCAGTTTCCAAGAAGAGACTGAAGAGAAGCATTCAGAAAGTCAATGAATGGTTTTCAAAAAGCAACGAGATTCTCTCTTCCAGTTCTTCCCAGGGTGATTCTACTGGAGCAGCTGACATTTCAGGGGACAGAGATGCATGTTTCTCAGATAAAGATTCCTGTATTTCAGAGAAGACTGACCCTATGGTGGATTGTGTGGAAATTGCAGTGGTGGAAGGAAATGAGAGATCATCAAAACAAACAGCAGATAGCATCAAAGATAAAATATTTGGGAAAACGTACAGGAGAGAGAGGAAATCAAATCCCTCTGTTATCTTCAGAGACATTTTACCTCCTGCAAAAAAGGAAGATGTGGCTGCTGATAAATTATTGGATCATTCAGGGAAAGACAGACTAAAGCGAAAAAGGAGGATTCCCCGTGTCCTGCAGCCTGAGGATTTCATCAGGAAAAAAGATGAAGAGGCAAATGTGTCCCCTCAAAGTGTTAACTGGTGCCTTGGAGATGCTGAAAAGAAAAGATGTGATGAAAGTTCTGCTGTTCATGAGGGTCAGCTCTCTGAGAATCGGGAGGATAATACACTGGCAGAACTTGAGGAACCAGGGGGATCTGTATGGAAAACAGCTACTGAAAAGGTGCCTGGCAAGCACAGTGCTGGGGAGCTAAAACTGAGTGACTGTGATCAGAAAAGCACCAAGAAAAGTTCTGCAGCAAAAAGATGCAGGCATTCTACTAGATCTGTGTGTGCCCTACAGTTAGTAGTGGATAGAAACTCTGATTCTGCTGACCCGGCTGAGCCACAGATCGATAGCTACCCAAGCAGTGAAGAACCCAGGAAAGCTGATTCTGAGCAACGACAAGTCAGGCGCAGCAGGAGGCTGCAGTTACTTTCTGAAGAAATGACAAAAGAGACAGGAAAAGGAGTTGAAATGAAGGAAGCAAGAAAGTATGACAGTGATCATGAAGGGGCTAACTTTAGAGTCCAAGCAAATGCATTAGTTCACACTTCTGCTTGCAAAGACCGGGATGAGCCCTGGGGTATGTCGAGTTCCAAATCACTTACTAATCTGAAGGGTGGTGATCTGGAAGCAAATGAAATACAGATTAGTCTAAAGAATTCATCTAATACTGCAGAAAGTGCTAAAGCTGTCTTCAGTCCTGCATCTTCCTGTCAGCATTCAACTTGTAGTTCCTTTGTGCCTGATACAGGTTCTCAAGAAGGTGAAGTTCAAGGTAGCCCTCTTCTACAGTTTCCTTCAACAGCTGTTGTGCAGACTGCTTCCCACCCGACTGAAGAGATGACTGAATCATGTACTGGACGTGATACGCCAAATGTTCCAGGGGACTTGAGAGCTGAAAGGTTGCCAATGGCTGAAAATGGTTTGGAATTGACCAAGGATGCTGAAGGGAGTGAGTTGGACGTATCATTTGTGCAAAATATATTCAGGCATTCAAAACGCCTGTCATTCAGCCTTCATTCCATCCCCAAGAAGGTGTGTGCAGTAGAAGATACTGCTTCTGAAACTTCTAAGACACCATGCACTGAGCAGGTAGAAAATAAGCAGAGCAGCTATTTAAAACCAGGAAACCTAAAAGGAGAGGAAACAACTGCTGGAAGCTTGAGTCGGGTTTGTGAGGAAGAGAAAGATGTTTCACAGGTTGCAAATCAAGGGACTCTGACACCGATAAGGATGGGCACTGCTGGCACTGAAGTCAAAAGCAGATTGCAAGGAGGGCAAGGGAAGGAAGAGACATTGTCAACTGGCACAGGAATAAAAAGGAAGTTGAGACAGAATCCAATTAAAAGTAATGTAAGGCAAAGTGATCAGGCTGATACGAGAACTGATAAAAACACAGACAGAGAAACATGCTTCAATTCAGAGAACAGTCAAGCAGGAAAGGCCAAAGTTGCTGATGACAAAGGACCAATAGAACCTTTTCACTCTGGCTCAATGATTTGTCCTGCACCTTGTCAGCAAAGGGCTGCTGAATTCAGCTGTGAAGTCACTGGGGAAAAAAGTAGCAAAAGAGAAAGCAAACCAGTAAAGGAGAATGAAGAAGGAGCAAGCCAGGCTGCTAGCACAGGGATGCCAAAGTTTTCACTTACAGAAGCTTCAGAAGAATCTTGTAAAAGGAATAGTGATTTTACATGTTTGTCTGAAACGCCTGATGGCTTACTGTGCTCTGATGATGAGATTGGAGAGAACATCAGCTTTTCTGCAGCTCATGGGAGAGAGAGATCTGCTGTGTTTGCAAAAGGAGGTGACAATGCTCTGGAGCAAGAACTACACAATAGAAGTGGTAGTTCTAAGTCAGGATCTCAACGTATTCAAAGACCTCGAAGAAGAGCACAGAAACTGCAATCTTCAGATGAAGAATCTAGTGAGGATGAAGATTTACCATGTTTTCAGGCACTAATATCTGGCAAATCAGTGAGCACACCTTTGCAAAGCCGTAAACCAGCAACGTCTGTGGTAGAGGTTTCAGCGAGTCCCATCACGTTGCCTCACCCTGGAAGTCACAAGGACTATAACATGCAGAAGATGCCTGAAGCTGCCGTAAGCAATGAATGCGTTTCCCCAAGCCAGGAGTCCGAATGCTCTGTCAACTTATTTTCTTCCCAATCCAACATGTCTGAAGAATTAGTTGAAGCAGCACAAGAGCTCAAGATTCCTTCAGGACAAGCTCATACATCTAAACAAGTGACAGAGAGTAAAGAAACTTTCCAAAGTGGTAATGGAGGGCTGAAGAGAAGCAAACCTAGCTCCAAAGATGAGCGCCAAGAAGACGCAAGCATGGCAGCAAACCTAGGTACAAACCAAGGTTTCTATCTCTGCAGCTGTGTGTGTCATGTCATTGCACCTAGGTGTTTGACAGGAGCTTAGTTCTGTGGTTATGTGGTTCTTGAGTGTATCAGCCCTGAGCAATCGACCAAAAAACCCTCAGGGGGTTATTCCCTGAAAATTAAGTTCTTCCAATATTCTTTGTTCAGAGCAAAAATGAGTAGAGTGGGCACTGGAGACCAGGCTGAGTCTGGCTGGAACTGATGTTTGTGTGAAATGCCCATTTCTTCCTGTAATGTGATAGCCATAAAGCCCACAAAGTTGTTTCCCCTCCTGAAATGTTTGTTGAACTTGACTCTAGCATTCTGTAGTGCTTATTTTTACCTTACAGCTTCCATAAGTAGCTGTGACTCTCCCATTGCTATTGAAACACTTGGAGTTCTATTTACTTTGCCATATGTGTGCCATGATGTTCTTTGAAATGTTCAGTTAAAGTAGGTCTGTGATTTTAACTCCAGCGTTTTCAAAACTTGTCACTTTGTCATGATAGTTAAGAGTTGGCTACAGGGGCTGTGTGGTAAGAGCCATGATTGTTGGGTTGGTTTGATGTGGATTTTATAACAGATTTTTCTTCTATGTTCTTCAAGGTGAAGCATCTGCATACGACAGTGAAACAAGTAATGTAGAGGATTTGTGTGAACCATTTTCTCAGGGTGAAATCCTCACTACACAGGTAAGTGAGGTTTTGCACTAAATTGGAGAACTGTTTTGTCTTGGAGCTACATTGCTCCCTGATGTAGCTCCACTGACAGGGATTCTATGCTATGCCTGGGCTGGATGGAATGGTGGCTGTGTGGTTTGATGGGGAGCTTTTAGGTTTGTTGTGTGATGGGGTTTTCTGTCTGGTTGAGGTTATTTTACTGATTCAGTAAAAAGAAGTTCCACATGGTGTCAGTGCTGAAGCTAGGAATGTATCCAGTGCTGTGTCAACTACTTTATCCTATAGGGTGAAAGTTTTAGGTTTTCAAAAGGATCCCCGAAGCCCTGAGCTGCTTTCATGGGAAGGTGTACATGGCATGCTTTTAATAGAGGGTATTGGAATTTTTGAGAGAGAAAGTAATGAAATAAGAATTAAATACTTTATTCCTTTTAAACGGTCTTTGGGGCTTTCAGGAATGATGCCACATTGTGTATCCTTTGCAGCAGAAGAATATAATGCAAAATAACCTAAAGAAACTTCAGCAAGAAATGGCTGTACTTGAGGCAGTGCTGAAGCAGCATGGAAGTCAGGACTGTGAATTTTTACCTGTCCATGGGGAACTGTCACATTCCAGCAGTGAAGGAACGCCTGGAATGGAACAGATGAGACAAGGAGGTAAATAGCAGTGAAAACCTTTCCTAGCTTTCTCACAAACAGTTGGGATTAGAGTTCTTGATGGTTTGATACAAATTACAGGCATCTTTAGCTAGCAAATAAATGCCTCTACTGCTTGTGAAGAGAGATACAGGAATGTGTTGAGGGATTCATAAACTGCACTAAATAGCGTAGATTTGCCTTTGGCCTTTTTTATGTGCTACATTTTCCACATGATATGAAGCTGAGCATCTTAGTTTCCAAGATGCTTTAATAAATAAAATATGGTTTAGTTGTTAGCCTGTTTCAGATGGATTTGTACTTTGTGTAGCTTTCTGTTTCTGGACTCTTCCCTCTCTGAAGTGAATCTGGACAGAGATTTTTAGAGGGTTTTTGGCTTCTTATCTGAACAGCTAAGAATCGTTGCTTTTATTTTGCTTATTTAAGAATTATTTTTCTTCCAGGGGCAGAGTCAACCTCAGAAGTCAGTTTTGAAAATGACAGAGGCAGCAATTCAAAGGGATTTTCAGCCAATGATTTCCATGTCTTGCCAAGTGATTCTCTCAACAGCGAAATCAAAGAGCAAGGGAAAGAAAGGTAGGTGGTTTGGGTTTCCTTTGTGTTGGTAGAGGGGAGAGGTGTTATTTCTAGTCTGGTAGTTTAACAAAATTGGGGGGTGAGGAAAAACCTTGACATTTTTGAGCCCTTGCCATAACTCAGCTGTGATGCTTAAAAGAGTAACAACAAAGAAAACCCTATTAAAACCAATTTCCCTCTCTGAAGGTCTCCAGAATTGTTCCTTCCATCTTCTAAATGCCATTTGTTGAAGAGACCAGATTTGGAGCAAGTTCTTCAGTGTGACAGTGCTCTACAGAACAAAGCTGCTTTGGGAAAGACTAAACCTATGCAGGAAGTGGTACAGGAGCATAGTCAGCATCAGCTTACATCAGGTAACATTGAAGATGGATCCAGTACATTTTGATTTCTGCTTTTTCCTGCTTTGTAACAGTTTTTCTATACCAGCAAGACGCAACTTTTTGTTATAAATCAAGGATTATAATTTATGTATTCCTGGCCAATTTAAAAAGATGTTAGTTCTTGTTTAGTTGGGTTTGTTTTGTAGCCCAACTGTAGCTGCACATCAGGGTGGGGTTGGACAACATTTGTACAGTAATGGGAGTGATTCCCACATTTAAATTAGTACTTCTTGACAGATACACTACTAAAAGTTCCACAGGTCTTGTGTCTCAGCTGTAGATCGGGCAAAAGTAATGATGGAGGCAAAGGTGAAGTAATACACAAATAAGGAGAGGAAGTGACTGCAGCGTTTAAACTTCAAGACTGAGCAACAGCCTTCCCCCATTACTAAAAGGAAGACAAAATTGTTTCAAGAAGTAATTTTTCTTTTCCTTTAGAAAATGCAGATGAGCAGAAATGTGGGACCAGGTCAAGCAGTGCATCTGTCTTATCAAATCTCTCTGGAAATGTGACCAAGAGTTCAAATAACTCTTCCTCCTCTGTAAGACTTCTTAACCCTCGAACTGCAGAAGCAACAAATAGTTCTGTAGTGACTCAGAAAACTAATAAAAGCTGTGCTCAAGAAAGCAAGTCAAAAAGAAGCGTGTGTTTTCCTCTATCTGCTCTGCACAATGCAGCTGGGAAGGAAAATCTTACAAGTCCAGTTGTGACTAACAGGAAAGCAATGTCAATTGTGGCATCAGGCCTGAGTCAAAGTGAACATGTAAGTATATTCAAGAAGTTTGAGATCACTTGTTAAGCATTCCTGATTGTTATAGTCCTCAACATAAAGAGAAAATGGGAAGTATAATGGAAACTAATCTTACAGGACCTGCAGATTAGAAATACAGAAACTCGGGTCAAACCTTTTCTCTCCTAAAAATCTGAGAATGCTTCCTGTAAATGGCACAGTTCAGCTTAGTGAAATTTGAACTTTTTAAATGAATGCCTGTGGGAAAATCCACTTATTCCAAATGAAGAGGATTTCACTTCTAGAAAGCCTTGTGGCTTGGAAGGGAGGGGGCTTGCGGTTGGTTCCCTGAACGTTCTCAGATGCTGCTTAATTACCCAAATTCTGAACCAAAGTGAGATTTTCTGTAATTAATCAATTCTGAGTTGCTAATAAACCTCTTTCATTAATAAACCTCCATGTCCAGGAGGATATGGCTCTTGGTTTAGAAACTACTGCCCCAGAGCTCTTTGCTTTAGCCCTTTGAATGGTGCCAAAGTTATTGACTTGTGGAGAAATGTATGTTCTGTGTGCCAACACAAATAAATCTAGGACTTTAAAGTAACTCTCTTACTATGTTGTACTCCAATAAACTGGAGTAGTTGGGGGTTTTAATCTGTTTTGCTAACTATTTATTTTCTTAACTACTTTTCAGTTGGTGGTCCAGAAGTTTGTGAGAAAAACTCAGAGCACTTTATCTAATCATGTTACTGAAGGAACCACCCACGTCATAATGAAAACAGGTTTGTTGGGAGCTATGCGAACTAATCCTGGATATATACACTGTAGAATGTTAACTCTAAGCTAACCAACAAGAAAGACAGCTCAGCAGTACATCTGAGTAAGCTTGAGGAGAAGGTATTGTTTCAATAGAAGTAGAAAACTGGAAGTGGAACTTTGCTGTGTGTATAACTGCTGGTAGTTGATAGCGAAGTTGTGCTTCCATAGGAACAAAGCAGCACTGTTTCATCCTAACTAGTATTTGTGTGCTTAGTTAAGGTACTTAAGTTGGGTTTTGCTCTTTGGTAGAGCTCCAGAATCCTATTATTAGAAGTTGGAAGGAACTTGGTACAATACTACAGTTGTACATTTGACAAATGTATTCTGAAACAGCATTATGTTGACCTGAGCAAAGCTAAGCATCAATCGGGAAAATTAAGTTACTTTATTGCTGCATCTAGGCATAGCTTTTAACCAATGTTTTAAAAAGCAAGCTATTTTGAGCCAAATCTGGATGTGGGGATGTTCTATGCTATGCTTGCATTTTGCTTTGTAGAAGCACTTGTAACTGGCTCATATTTAGATACAATCTGTCACATAAGCCTTTCTTGCTTTTGAAAACCAACAGAGGAAAGGAGCCAGAAATTACAGTTACTCCAAATATATGAACTCAATTTTTGCCCTTTTCTTCAGGAAGAGTATGATAAACATCATGACCATATGCTTTTGGAGAGGTATATGGGTTTGTCTTCATACAAATTCAAATAGGATAAACTGCCTCTTGAAGTTGTACTTGTCCTGGTAGAGTAAAAGATGATCTTATGTGGCTAGTCATCTAAACGTTCCTGCCAACATTAGCACTGAATCCTACAGTTGCTGTTCTCTCTCAGCTAATATTTGTGCTTGTTTTGCCTTTTGTCTTTGCTGAATGACAAAAATAGAGTTCAGAAGTTGTGCATGTGATTTGCTTCCATTCATCTCCTTCTGTTTAGTAGAATCAGGGCCCGAGAATCTGGGAATGTTTCTATAGATGGTTTTGATATTCTGCTGCTGCACTTAGCAAAAAACTTTTGCTTTTAGGTACAAATAACCTGAGCTGTTTTGAGTTTTTTTTCACTATTGGCAAGCTGAAAGAACTCTTTCTCTTTTTTGCTCTGCAGATAAGGAGCTGGTGTGTGAACGGACACTGAAATACTTCCTGGGTATTGCAGCAAGAAAATGGGTGGTTAGTTATCAGTGTGAGTATAACTTGGTTTGGAGCTGAGTGGTCTCTGCCCTTCTGCCAGAAATGTACTCTTCACTTGTTCCATAAAAGGATCTCTTCATGTCTGTTCATGTTGCAGCATTTCTTTTAAGTACTTTAAAATCAAACTGTTAGCAGTGGAAGAACAATAAAATGACTTGTTCTGTTCTGATCTTTTTCTTTAGGGGTAATTCAGTCCTTTGAAGAAGGAAGGATATTGAATGAGGTAGGTCTTTTAGCTTAAGAGTGAAATCTCAAATGCCTAATGCTATCACATTGAGAGATCTCTTAGAGTAACCTCAGATATTGTCTATATATTTAATATATGGAAATCTGGCTTTGTAAACCTTAGCATATGCTAAGACCAAAAGCCACACTTGGGCTATGTGTCTTCATTGTTACTGAAGGTATATTGGGTCCTTAACAGTTTTTTGGAACAAGTTAGGCATATTTTTTTCTAAGTGATGGATGACAGCCTAGAGGAAAAGATCTATTGTTTGTTAAAGGAAATACTGTCGGGACAGAGCTACACACATAGTTTTGGTTTATTTTTAAACTTTAAAATACCCAACTGAAAATTCATTCCAGCATTTACTGCCTCTCCTGGTAGCAATGGTTTATTTGCTATGACCGTGACTTAGGTGGATTTTTGTATTCTTGGGTGGTATTTGGATTTTCATTCTCTAGTACATGTTTTTGGAGAATGTGATAGTGACCCAGGATGGATTTCATGTGTCTAATGAGCAGGCATGCCACTTTCAGGTAGAAAATCCATATGCCCTTTTGGCAAGCCAAGAAGAAAAGCCTTGGCCCCAATAAGGCCCTAGGAAGGGGTATTAAAAGCCCTCCTGTGCTTGGGTGAAAAGGGGAAGTTGTTACTACAGCATTGACTGGAAGTGCTAGAACATGGGACACACTCTCACAGAAGCAAGGAGAAGAGCCTTCAGTTATCATAGATCATAGATTTAATTATAATTATAATGAAGATCCAAACTTTTTGTTTGTTATGTTGCAGGAGAACTTTGAAGTTAGAGGAGATGTAATCAATGGGAGAAACCACCAAGGTCCTAAGAGGGCTAGGCAGTCTCTGACTAAAAAGGTATGAGCATGTTGGGGATGAAAACCCTGTCCTGCTGTGATTGTTACAGATATGTGGCTATGCCAGCTGAACATATAGAACCTTTTCCCATTTCTCTGCTGTTCTCTATACAGAGAGTTGTACATGTTCATCATTTCTAGAGATGAAAGTGAGGTCTGTCAGCAGCAGAGGAGATAAGGTCCTGGCTCACTCTGCTTAGAGTGAATGCTACCCTTTTTATAACTGGTTTAGGACAGCACAGGTTTTGGGAGTTGAAACAGGGGGACTCATGAAGTTTTGTAGGTTACAAAGAGCTTCAGATCTGCTTTGTGGAACAGTGATAGCTTGATAACCTGTCCGAGAAGTGCAGTGAAACAAGCACGTGAAGTGTTGTCCTTTAAAGACACCATATGTACTCTGTTAACATGTTCCTTGTTTTTCAGATCTTTGAAGACTTTGAGATCTGTTGCTATGGCCCTTTCACTGATATGACTACAGGTGTGTCAGTTGAGTGGAATTAAACTCTTAGTATAAGAAATATTTGGAAGGGGGTTGTGGCCATTCACCAGAGGTTTATATTTGACCTCTTCTTGGATGCTTTTGTCCTTCTTACTCTGACATTTTCAAAACGCCTCCATGAGGCAGAGGTAAAGAACTTTACCCAGTTCTATCTCCAGGTAGAACAAAGTGGTGTTCTCTTCTATTTGGCTGTCCTCAGAGAACTGCTCTGGCAATTTCACTCTATTTCAAAGTAGGCCTTTTATCTAGTTTCTAGCGGTGAAGGAACAGCATGAATATCATGCTGTCTGGCAGTTGCTTTACATGCTATTGAACTTGTATTTAAGCATTTTTTTCCTTCTTAGTTAACATTTTTCTAGCAAAACCTACCTAAGTATCATTTTTGTACAGTTGACACATCCTCAGTGTAATCTTCTCTAGAAGCAGATGTTAAAACTGAAACACACAACAAAGCACAAGCTTCTATGCAAAGCAAAAGCTGCTTTTTGTTAAACCTGAAAATTTCAGCTCGAATTTTGTTACCTAAAAATATTTGTACCTCTCTTCCCATTTTTGGAGCTTATTCAGCAGTTCCTTTCTGATTTGTCCCATTTAACTTCATTTTTGACTGGGTAAAATATCCTCACATCTCTTGACATTTACAGTAATTACTGCAGAGGATGCAGTGCTTTCACCTGCTGCAGTGATCATCAGTTCTGGCTCTTAGACTTGAGAGTGTTATTTCTCTTCTTCACTATCACTTCAACAGATTGGTGAAATTAAACACTTTAACTACTTCTGTTAATGAGAGAGAATTGCAGTTCTGACTTCTGGGTTTGAATTTGAATTTCATGGTTTACATCCTTATGATAAAAGGAAATAAATTGTGAGTGACTTTCTCTTTGGTTTGTGCATGTGCTGTTGTGCTGCATCAGGGGTTTGGTTTTGTTTAGTCCTGACTTAGGGAAGAGAGTGAGTTGTTATTCCTCAGCAGGCTAGAATCTGAAGGGACTTATTCTCTACTAAGGCTTAAATTTCTTTCAAATTATGGTTGTTTATATCTTGGAACAAAGACATGAGGGCTTAGGGAAAAGTATCAGTTTCAATGTGATAGAAAACATTGAAGTAATAGGCTGTTTGTCTGATTTTCTTCAGAACATCTCGAATGGATGGTGGAGCTTTGTGGTGCCTCTGTCGTGAAGCAGCTTCATCTGTTCACACACCCTCCAGTAAGTGTTACTGAATGTTACGCTTGACATTGTGAAGAGTCTATAGCTGTGTAATATACAACATGTTGAAAGATTACATGGCCTTAGTGGGCTTGTCAAAGGCTAATATATACAGGTATGGTAGAGAAGTGGCTGCACAGTGATGCCAAACTGCACAGCAACAGTTCTTATATTCTAGGCTCTGGTCACTGTATTGGAACACAGGCAAACTTGGAGAGGAAAACTGATCAGAGCACTCTCTGAAACCAGCACTGAGCCTCACTTTCTAGCACAAAAACCCTTCAGTGCTTAGTCACAGAAAATCACAGAAATCACAGACAATTCTTAAGAACTTGCATCTCTCTCCCTTGACTACCAGTTCTTCAAGTCCTCTCTGAAGTGATGTGCTGAAGCAGAGTTAGCCCAGTTATCACTCTCTGCAGATGGGTGTAAGAGTCATTTAATGACACACAGATAACAGCAGCAGTTTGTATTTTCCTGTCTTGCAATCCTAGAATTCTACTGCTGTCGTGGTTGTGCAGCCAGATGCTTGGATGGAAAACACAGATTATAGAGGTAAAACAACTGTCGTGGACGTTTTATGGTACACATTGAGTGTCTTCCTGGTCTCGGCCCTTTTAATAGTTAAGCATCAGAGAGGTTTGTAGAGGAATTGAAATAAAATCCTGCTGTATCTAGAGATGGAGGTATGTCCCGGAAAGCTCTGGAAGAGCAAGGTATATTATCTCAAGAATCAGCACTAGATAGGTCTTAAGGTAGCCTGGCAGGCAAATCCTGTTCTTGGCTCAGCAGCAGTCTTACAGAAACTTTTCTCATTGGAGATAGCTTCTAAAAGGTGGAAGCGTGCCCTTGGAGCCTCAGACAGGACAAGATTCTCTTGGTCTGGAAAGAGTATGAAACTGCAGAGCAGGAGCTGCAGAGCAGGATGTAGCTTTGCCTTTTTATTTTTGTTATTATTTTTCTACTCTTTTAATCAAAATGCTCCAGAGAAACCATCAGACTTTGCCGGTGCAAGTGTTCCAGAGTGACTTCTGCATGAAAGAGTGGGAGTTATGGGATGAATGGGAGCTAGTTAGGCTACAGCGAAGCTCAACAAAAAAGAGAAGCAGGAAGATGATGTATTTCCATCACTATTTCCATGGCACTGGGGAAAAATGAGAAAATAAAGATCCTGAACTGGTGAAGCACAGGCAGGGAGCACTTCAGTGATTTTCTGTTGCTTCTCTCCATGAGACTTGTTGCTCATCACATACTCAGTATGTTTGAGTAGACAGGACCTGAGGCTCTGTCACCAATCCTCAATGAAAAGATAGCAAGGGCTGCACTCTTTGCTGTTGGTATGTATTCTGTGGTGTTCACATCTTCCTGCCTCACCATTTGCCCAGCAGCTGCTCTTTGGAGCAGCACTATTACCTGCATTGTTTACAGGAGTCGTAGTGCCACATCACTGGTTTGAGACTTGGGGTGTTTTTATCAAGGCCTTTAAAATGTCCATGATAAAGCAAATAGCTTAATCTGAAAGACATCAATAAGTTTACCTTCAGCTTGCTTTGACTCACTGATAACAGATTTATGGTTTGTGTCTTTGTCTTACAGCAATCCAGCAAAAGGACAAGGTTGCCATGGTGACTCGCGAGTGGGTACTAGACAGTGTTGCTTGCTATGAGTGCCAGGAGTTTGATGCTTACCTTGTGTCCTAAGGCTGAGCTGCATTTCTTCCAGCTCAGAAATCCTCATCAGTGCTGATGGCTTGGTAATTATTTAAGGACTGGAAATTTGAAGTCACTTACGCAGAGATTATGTGTATGTAATGGTCTTGTTAAGAGTAAGATAACTACATTTGTATTAACAATAAAGTTACTTGAACAACATTACCATATAAAGATGGAATTACCCACTGTTCTTTAAAGATTAACATTTCCAATTTTAAAATAGTCGTTTAAATTAATGGAAAACAGATTTGAAAAGTTAGAAACTGTAGAATGTGGCCTCCTCAGAGAAATGGTCAAGTATTATTTACCATTGCAGTAAATTCTGGTTTCTTACCTGAGGACATCTTGGAGACAGTCATTTAAAAGAGTAATATTGATCTCAGGGCTTGAATGAAAACATATTTCCACTCCCAAGTAACCATCTTTTCATTTTGCATGAACGCCCTGAATAAGGGTGTATACTGATATGATGGAATGCTGTTTTGTGATTACTGATGTGTCAGCTGGGTTAATCTCAGGCCAGGGATTATAGTTGTGTTGAAAACTATACAAACAGCTTCTCTTGTATAGAGAAGTGACAACTTGCCCTAACCAGGGAAATTATCACCAAGTACAGGAAAACAGCACTTGATTCTCAACATAAACCAAGCCCTAAAACCACCAGCCTTTACCAGTGTTGTGTCAGTCTTATTTCTGAGAAGTGTATGAGGCACCAATGGAGAGGTAACAAACAGATGCACTTTAGTATCCCAGTGACCTATAATAAGCCCTTTAAGAAGCTACTTCTTAATAACCCCTGCCTGCAAAATGAGGCTGCAAAGAAAATAAATTTGCTTTCTTATGGCTGAAAATACATTGCTTGATTCTGTTGCTAAGCAGTTCCCCTCACAGATGATCTTGGACTTCAAAGCAGAAAGAGAACCTGTTTCCAGAAAGTTGTTGTTTAAAGAAAAATGTAGCTAAGTTCAGAGAACTGTTCAGTGCTGGAATGCTGCTGGGTTGTCTTGGGAAGTAGAGAAAGCCTGTTGAGAAATACTGAATGCTCAAAGGAAATAAAATGAGTTTGGAAAGTGATTTCCTTATTTATTCAGTTTGTGGTGTAAATGAGGTGAATACAAAACGTATCTGGAGTCAGCCTCCTGCAAGTGGGGATTGACTGGAGGAGGCCAGAAATGTAAATTACAATTTGGGGGCTGGAATCAGAGCCGTATTTTCCATTGACCTGAGAAGCCAATGTGTTATCAAGTGTCCTGCAGTTGCCAAGTGGAAGCAAATGCTCTCTTAATGAGGCATTGCTCCTGGTAGTGTAAGTGCTGGAAGCATTTGTTCAGTTGCCATACCTCACTGTTTGCTTCTGTGTGACAATATTTCTTAACTATTGAGGCTGTTGTACCAGCTTCCCCTTCAGAGTGATGCTTCTCTTATCTCTAGAGCCCACATTGCTTGAGGGGTTGTTATGTTGTTGCTGGAATGATGCCTGGGACATTGCCCTTCCTCCTTGGAGGTGACTGGATCTGTGGAAACCCTGTTTCTGATAAAGCAGCTATCTGTGAATTCCTGGAGTAATCTGTGTCTCATAAAGATGTGAATGAAGGGGAAGGGTTTGAGGGCCATGTTTCCAGAGAAGTAGGTGGTTTAGTGGGAGCTGATGTGGCCCTGATCAAATCCATATTGACTTCTCTAATCTGCCTTTCAGCTTCAGTAAGAAAGCCCAGCACTTGGAGCTTCACAGCCACTCTGTGGATTGGAAATGCCATTTTATACATGAGGGTCAAGCTGCAGTTCCTCCCTGTTTGCTCATGTGCAGCTTCATGGCACCTCACCTCAGAGGCTTCCGACCCTGGGAATGCAGTTCTGAGACGTGCCTAGGCCATGCTGTGCCTTTTACAGTAGTTACCTCAGGGTAACAAGTAGCAGAATCAATCGCCATGAAAGGACTAGGCAGGTAGTTAAAGCAGCTGCATACAGCTATCCTAGTCAGCAGCATGTGCCTTTTATACTATTCCCTAAAGTGAGGGAAGAAAAGAAGTATAGGCTGGTGGTGGTTGGAGGTTTGCCTGAGGCGCTGCCAGCAGGCAAGTGCTGTATTTGTAATTAGAACTGCTCTGCTTTTGTAAATTAACAGGAGCTTTTCTGGAGCAGGGTCAGCTTCCGAGGAACCTGAGCTCTGTTGCTGCTCAGTGTGCATACCCCTCTGCTGCTGGAGGCATCCCAGCCCTAGCAGTGTCTGTTTGCCAGACCAACTGCTGCTGCCCTGCAAAAGGAGACTGGCAAGAGCTTGCCTGTGGCTTGGGATGGTAGGGATTTGCTCAGCAAGGGTATCTTGCAACAACTTCATTCTGTGGCTTCTCTGTGGGTGCCTTAACATTGAAATAGTGCTCCTTTGAATTCTGTAAGGTTGGGCATGTTTTGGTACCTGGCCTACCACTGGTGAGTGACTACTGCATAGCTTTTTGCTGAAGTAGTTTACTCTTTAAAATCCTCCCTCTACATTTGGATCCATACACAGAGAGTTATTTCCTTGCAGATCTGAAGCCATTTATAAGGAAGCAGCTTATTCAGGGATGCAATTAGAGCACTTGTCTGACTCATTACTAGAGCTAATGGTAAATCAAAGAAATATTCAGTCTGTACCTATAATTATTCTGGGGGATCTGCTGGAATGTCTCATCTTGGGTCCGGTTTTATGTTGCTGATATTGTGAATAAAAACCTTGTGCACAATCTGTAGTGAGCCATCATGGTAGAAAATGCCCACGAGCTCACCTGCTTCACAGACCAGATGATGCGAGCTGGGGCTAAGCACTGAAGGGCTTCATCCTCTCCCTATGTTGTCCTGGGTATTTGCTGTCTCTCCTTTAGAATCTCAGCTGTGATCCCAACACTGCAGAAGCACTGTTCAGACCCTGCAGGGTTTGTGCAGGGATGCTTTAGTGCAAGTTGCACTATGTGCCTTTCTTTGCTGTGTATTAAATGTATTACCAGGAGGTTACAGAACTAGAGGAGGCTGGTCCAGTTGCTCTCAAGTCAAACACACATTAGACTCATTCTTCTCTATGCAGGTTCACCTCTATTTGAAAGGATGTGCTATTTGTTATGTGCCTACCACCAACTTAGGCTTGAAAAGCATCAGTTCTTGAGAGCTGCTGAGCACAGGGTTATTCATCTTTTAATTCCTAATCTTATTTTTGCTAGGGTCACTGAATTGGTGGCAGTTTTGTGTGGTGTGTCCTGCAGATAATACCCCCCTTGAGAGCTGCAGGGGAGGCGAGAGAAGGCTGAGCTGATTCTACCCTCGCCAAGCAACCAGACATGCATCTGTGCAAGTGTGTGCTGGCAATGCTAATGCAGCTGCTCCGCTGTACAGCACCAGCTCCTTGTTTTGCTGCTCACCAGCAGCAGCTCTCTAGAAACCACTGACCCTTTCTTGATCTTCAGCTCGCTCTGGCAACCAGGCTCCGGGGTTGCTGTTTCCCTGCACGGTACCAGAGCAAGTACAAGGTTTCCTGCTGCTGTACATGAAAAGCAGGAGCTGGGAATGGGGCTGGGTGTGGGGAAAGCCCTCCACAGGTGAACAGGTAAAGATGTGGGCTTACACCTGAGCTGCAGAGCGGTTCTTCAGATCCCCACAATTACAGAGGATTGTAACAAAAACAGCTGTAAAAGGCAAGGCAGAGCCGCAGTGCTGGGGGGCACCGTGCAGGGAGGCACAGTTCACTTTCTCATGCTTCCAGCTGGTAAAATCTGGAAACCAACATCTTTACATGAGATGCCTCTAACTGATCCTGAAAATGGAGGCAGAAGGCTGGGAAAGGACAGCCACTGACTGGAATTATGTCAGCTCTATGCGATACAGGTGAGCTTTTTCTTGCAACAACATGTCCTGGACATACTTCTTGGTCTTGAACTTAAGTAGAAAACTCTTCAGTTCTTGTGATGGGACGGAAATGTGCTCCTGCGAGATGGTTTTCCTAAGGCAAAGAGGTTGCCAACTGTTTAAAAGGGTTTTCCTTTCTCTGAAGTACCCAGAACTTACCATGAAGCTGATAACTCCAAATGAACTGTGTGCAGAGCAGCCGCACCTAGAGCTAACCGCTGGGAGCACCGGGGGCAAAGGAGACAGAGACAGAAGTGCCTGATGAGGTGCTGGAGCCATCTCTGCTGCAGACCACAGCATGGTGTAGAGGTGCCTACGTGGGCCTGAAGGAAAAGGCAACTGCAGCGCCACAGCCTGGTTCAACAGCCTGCAGCATAGACAGAGCCCATGTACCACAAAGAGGGCTACTAGCAGTCAGTCATGAAGTACCCATGCAGGAGCCACGCTTCAATCTCAGTTCCAATGTGAAAGCAACAGGCCAGGCTTGTTCCACTACCTGGATGTCAACAAGCTGACTCAAAGAGGAGGAGGAAACTTCAGCTGTGTCTTGCGCATCCTTATCTTTCCTATCTGCCTTTGTGCCTCCCCTTCCGCCTTTCTATGGCGATAAAGCAAGAGCCAAGAATACATTTGTGCAGCACAGGCCATAGCAAGAGGCTCAGGGAGGAGGTTCTGTTTATGAGCCTCCCCAGCCGAGGCCTGGCCCGCTGGTACCTGCAGAAAAAGTCTGTTTCATCACCTGTGTTAATATTCAGGCCATGAAGTCATCAGCATTTGTCTTTATTCCTTTATAGAAATGGAACAAGCTTCCCAGAGCACTGCTGCTGCTGACAGCACATTCCCTCGAGGCCCTTCCTGGGAGAAGCATTTGCCAGTTTGCATGCATACATTTCAATGAATTACAATGGGCTGATTGATGAAATGCAATCAGATGATTAATTGACAGTTGTAGAAATCAGCCGGGGTCAGAGGAAACACATGGCAAAGGCACGTGGTTCACTTACAATTCCAGTTTCACCTTGGATCAGGGGTTCTCGGTCACTTCTTAGATACAGAGGGGTTTAGCACTGAAAACCAAAGCAGAGCCAGGAACCCCAGTGTCTCCTCTGTGCTTCTCCTGGCCTCTGATCCATGCTCTGAGCCTGGCATCTCTTTTCCACATTATCCGTTTGCCATGACTGTGAGGGGTTAATGGTGCTGCTTAGGGCTGAGCACAGTTCCTGTGTTCATCTCTTCCCATCCGTGCACAGGCACAAACCGCAGCACTGACACTGCTCCGGTGTTCTGATGGCTCTGCTGCAGTGTCACACCAGGCTGTGTCCTCATGCATCTGCCTTCCTCCCTGTGGCACCTCCTGGTGCTCTTTCTAATCCTCTGGGCACAAAATAGCTGAAACCAGTCCCAGGCTTAGTATCCACTTCAGTGGTAGCTGGAGAATGTTGCCGAGGTAGGGATAGGCTCATCTAAAGGGCATGAGCAGCCTGGTAGGGTTGTCTGAGGGTCTAACCTTTCAGTAATGCGTGTCTGTGTCCTCACCAACACAGCTTGGACTCGTGTCCAGATTCCCCCTGGAAATCTGTGCTCCGGTGTGCTGAGAGGTGGGGACTGCTCCAGGCTGCTTTTGGCCAGAGCAGCGAGATTGCTGCAAAGAGCTGGCAAATGCCAAGTGATGCTGGGGCCACAGGAGACGTGAGTGAGGTGGGTAAACCCCACTCAGGGAGGGCACAAAACCACACAGGACCTGGGAGGCCCAGTTCTTGCACCTTTGTTTTGCTTCTGTTGCTTGAGTGACCCCTCATGAGTCCAGCCCTGGTGTCAGACCTCACCCTCCCCAAACCCCTCCTCCTGCAGCAGAGCATCGCAACCGGTCCTGCTGCTTGCATCCTTCCTCAGAAGCTGAGGGCTTCAGGGCATGCTGATGGGGCACCATCCCTGCAGGAGCAGCTGGTGCAGAGCTCTCCTGGGGGAGATGTGGCCTTTAAGAGGGTTACCAGGGTACCACACTCAGGAGCAGACTGTTTCCTGCCATGATGCAGACTGAAGGGGCTCTGTCCCACCCAGCTAGCTGCTCACCCGGCCCCATGGAGACAGAATGTTTTCCGAGGCAGGACACCTGCACTGGCAAGTGTTGCTCATAGATTTTTCTGTAGGCAGTAATTAGAGGCCTCGAGCCCTCCCCACTTGTCTTTTATGTGTCAGTTCCACCTCTTCCATCTGCACGGTTTTGTTCCTCTCCTCTCTGCGCTGACTCATCTGCCACAGGCAGCCCATGTGTGTGGAGCCTCCTCGTGTCCCATGCCTGTGAGCTGGAGATGGGCACTGCACCAGGACGGGCACCGTGTTGAGCTGCCATTCAGCAGCACAGAGAGAGCTGAGAGTTCCCACCATGTAAGCCAGATCTAGCACTCAGTTGAGCAAGAGCTCTTGAGGCTGTGATTTAGACCAGAAGCTACTGGTAGTGATTGGAGTCATTCACTCAGGGGGACCTGATTCCCTCCATTGGCGATGCAGGAGTCGAGGGTACCCCTTCCCCTAAGCTAACACCCAGCCCCACCAGCCCACTGTAATGAACGGTGCTCATGCAGCCCACTGCCTCTGAGCTGTGGGGCTTGATCCACACACACTGTGTGTTTCCTCTGGCCTCGACAGCACAGTGTGCCAGTGTGCTGTGTGTGCCCGCACCAGCGCAGCATCCAGCACGGCACAAACAGCTCCCTGAACTGAAGATGGGGATGCTTGAGGCCCTCCTGCACAGCTCCACGTTCCTCCTGCCTGATACCTCCAACCTAGAGGCATATTAGGCACCAGGTGCACCATAGATGGAAGCAGCAGAGAACTGAGTGCTTGCTGCTAGGTTTGAAGGAGCACCAGCATCCTTCGTTCTCTGCATTTCTCGGTGGCTGTGAAAAGACAAGCTGCAGTGTGAAAGCTGCAATCATCCCCCTAAGGCAGGCACAGACAACCTGCAAAGGCTCCACAGCATCTGAGGATTCAGGATGGAGGAAGGTTATTCAAGGCAGGTGCTTCAGCCTCCAAATGAATATATACAGCAAGTCCTCTGCTCTTCTTTCAGGTGTGTGAGTGTATTTCAAGAGCTAGAGAGATGCATTAGGCCACAAGTAGCAGTTGGGCAGCAAGACATCGTGAGAGGATGCCTGATCATGAGAGGATGCCTGGTTCTGGCTATGACAAATGAACAGAGTCAAGAGCTGTGCATTTTCCAACCAGGTTTATTTGCTTTCTGAACCCACTGACACAGCTGGACCTGGCAATGGAGCAGATTCTTTATTCCTTAAAGTGTCTACGTGACGTGAAGTCAAGGCGAACACTGTAGTCAAAGGCATTTAGAGAGGACAGCAGCAGAAGCGATGGGAGCTGTGGGAGGAGGCTTCCAGCAGGCAGGAGGGGAACGAGCACCTTCCCTCCCACAGCCACAGTGGGGACAGGGTGCAGATAGGCGTGTAATCCTTTCGGTTACCTGGACCAGACAAACACAGCACCATGCAACACAAGCTGCAGCTGGGAATGGGTGGAGAGCAGGATATGGATGGTTACTGCAGTCTGCTGCCTCAGAAGCGGGGCAGGAGCAGGCTGATGAGTGAGCAGGCTGTCAGCAGCAGGGACACCAGCTCCCGAGCGGCATTTGCTTGCTGAAAGGGAACCACAGTTCACGGGATGCAGCTACTGGGAGAGACCTCTCCCCTGGAGCCAGATCCACTCTGCTGCATTTCAGATGGAGCTCAAGTACCTAAAATAGCATGAAAAGAGCCACCTACCTACAGCAGGAGGTGGGCTACTGCGGTCTCTTGTTGGGTTAAGGTTCCTTCCCAGGACATCCCATCCCTCCCAGCTCCGGCCCAGACCTGCACCTTCCATGGGGATTTGCTGTCCAGCCTAGCTCAAGGCAGCACCACCTCAAACATCATTTCTCTTCTGAAGGAAGGTTGGAAGAACACCTTCTGATTGCACGCTGCTGCTGGCACCACCACCCATCTCCCACCCTCCAGCCCAGGTCCCGCACAGCCCCACGCTGCACACAGGCACAGAGGCTGGGCCATGGGAACAGGAGGGGTGGCACACACACACACACACACAGGATCACTCCCTTTCACCCAGCACCTGAATACTCCTCTGCCAAGTGGCTCCTTCACCCCAAGCAATCCACGCAACAGCAGCCAACCCACAAGTCTCCATGGTGAGGGGCAACTTGTGTCCCCCCCCTGTTTGCAGCTGGGACCTTTGCTCAGCCCTAGGGACTTGAGAGAAAGGCTTTGGAAAGGCAGGCTGGCCACGCAGCCTCGCCTCCGGCAGTCCCTGTACAAAACGGACAGCACACAGACGCTATTTACAGCCGGGGTTCACATGATGGAGCAGCTCTTGGCGCGCTCTTTCCTCATCTCCGTGTCGCTCAGTAAGTCCGTCCTGCCGGGCATCTGTGACGCCCGCTTCAGTCCCCGCTTCGAGTTGCTGCGCTTCAAGTTCTTGTGCACCCTGTTGACGGAGGCCAGCGTGGTCACGTGGAACACATCCCGCACGCTGTTCTCGGACACCTTGGAGGAGCACTCCGCATAAGCCACGGCCCCGATCTGCCGCGCCAGCGCGCTGCCCTGCGCTCCGGAGGGAAGAGGGAACGGGTTAGGACGGCGGCGCTCCGCAAGAGCATCCTTTCACGGCAGGGGCAGCCCCGTCAGAGCGCCCTCATCGCCTCGCTAAAGGGCTGTGAGAGCACCAGATGTGAGGGTGGGCTCCCCAGCAGTGTCCCCAAGCGCCTGTCACCAAGGCAGGGCCAGCCCTGCAGCAGGGTCCTGGAGAACCCTGCTTACTGGGGCAGGTACCTGGGAGCTGCTGTGCTCAGTGTGGAGCCAGGCACAGAGCAACCCAAGGCGCACCCAGTACTGGGGCTGCAGCCAGCCCCTAGACACTGCTGGGTCCACTGAGAGCCACAGCACATCCCAGCCCGCCCGGTTCTGGTTTCCCCATCCCCAGCAGGGCTCCCCAGCAGCAGTCACTCGGAGCTGAAGGAGCTGCAGGAGCACAACGCTCCCCTTTAGCCAGTCCAACTTGTCGAATCAGGCATCTCCACCGCATCCAAGGGATGCAGCTCCTAACAAGGAGGCTGTTGTGCAGAGCACCAGGAATAGGTCAACAGCTGCCAGAGCTGGGGACAAGTGCTGTAAGCATGAGCAGCTCAGCGCCCACGAGCCAGTGTAAACCAGCTTCAGACCAAGACCCGGGCACGGGGGTCATCTGCTGCTGAGCTTCCCTATCCAGTAGGTCCTGCAGCCCAGTGCGAGCGGGGCGGGCGCTGAACGTACCTGCTCGTGTGTGACAGGGATGAGGCGCTGCTTGGAGAGCTCCCGCAGCGTGTTCAGGTCCGTCCGCATGTCCAGCTTGCAGCCCACCAGCACGATCTTTGCATTGGGGCAGAACTCCTGAGTCTCCCCTTGCCACTGCAGGGGGGGACAAGGGGGAGAAGGCGCTCAGGGGTGAGATGCTTGAAGAGCACACGGTCACGGGGAGCTCTTTGCTCAGCACACCCACCATCTGCTTGTTATGTGGAGCCACGTGTTAAAGACATTACAATATTCGGGGCATAACCACAGCCAGGGAGATGGAGAATTGAAGCAATGGCAGGAGAAGGCCACATCAAACGTTCACTTCCTTCGCACCAATGGCTCCTTTCAGAGCTCCAAAACTTAATGCCCAATTTGCAGCTAAGTGGCCGCAGCAGTAAATCAAGCCATCACCTATGACCTCCCCCAGGGCAGACCCCATGAGCCTGTCAACACCCTGCTTCCTTATGTAGTGTTTCTAAAGGAGGAGGCAGATGATAAATGGAGGTTAGCCCTGGCTAAAGATGTCACTTGGAAACAGCAGTTCCCTGCTGCACTGACTGATGGTTAAGCACATGCCCTAGGCAATTAGAAGGGGAAAGAAAACCAAGCCCACAGCCCAGCGTCCCTGAGCTGGTGGGGAGAGGCAGTGCCAAGAAGGACCCAAGTTTCATCCAACCAATATCAGACCAAAGCAACTGCAAAACACCAGGAGATGGGCTCAAGTGTCTTCACCATGAACCCAAATCCCCCGCTCCATCCACCGGGACTCACACACCCCCCCAGCACATGGGCAGCACAGCTTCGGGCGTCAAGAGCCAAGACGGCCGCAAGAAGAGGAGGATGCGGTTCTTTCGGAGCAGGAACTCAAGCACCCTCATGTCCCTGAAGGATGGAAACTCCCAAAGGGACTGAGCTACGGGGTCTGTTCTCAGCAGGCAGAGGTCAGGGCTCTCTGTGATGATCCAGGCTCCCTGTCTATGGGGAGAGATGCCACCCTCCGCTCGCATGATTGACTCTTGAGGGAGCCAAAGATTTGCTGCGCTATGGAGCCCTGTGAGGAGGGCACCACCCCACAGAAACCTGCTTTGTGTGCAGAGAAGAGCTGCTTGTTTGCCTTCTCCTTCCCTCCAAGTGTGCACGCTGCACAGGCAGCCCGGGCATCACAAGGGCAGCAAGAAGAATAAAGATTTCCTCCGCTGAATTAGTGTTTCTGCCTAAGGCTTGCATAGGGAGCGTTATTTTCCTTCTTCGCCTGATACCAAAAGCTAAAACCCATTCCAACTTCATGGTGTCTTAGGAATTCTCCTCGCCTTCATAGGCTGCACCAAAGGAAACAACTCAGAGGCACTGAAGAAATCCCCTGTCAATTAGGTTTTACTTTAAGTCACCGTATCAAAAAGACATTGCCTAACAGCACCCAAAGCATCCGCACGGGGAAGACCACGCACTGAGCAACGCGGACTCCAATGAAGAGCGTGAAGAAAGACCTAAATAAACCCCAACCCCGGCTAATTCTTGATGGGTTCGCATCTCATTAAGGTACAAGGGATTTGCTTGCATTATTATTCTGCTGACTGCCAAGCTGAGCTGTGAATTCTTTCAGTCCACACGAAACGCCTCCTTCCACCCAGCACGCTCAGCACCCCAGCTCAGGAACGAACACTGAGCCATTGACAGAGTTATCTGAGGGGTCTTTGTCCCCTCCCCAGGACACTTGGGAGACACAGACCCACTTCCCAGTGACTGAATAAGAGGCACTTGCTCCAGCACAACGTCTGGCAAGCCGTGGAGAGGCCGAAGGGGGCAGTGGGCACAATGGGACTGGTTCGGACAGCGGCCGCCCAGCCCAGCAGCCCGAACAGCCTCAGCATCCCTGCTCTGTGGTGCTTGTCACGCCTCGGTGTCTCAGAGAGCCTCACAAACGAGATGCCAGACAAAACTCCCCCCTGGCAAAGGAGACAGCGCCAGCGAGCGCTCTGCAGCTCTGCCGGGAGCTCACCGAAACCACGGCTCCCTGCGTTCCATGGGAGGAAGCAGGGTACAGACAGACCAAGGGATGCGAGCGGCCGGGGGGCAGTGGGGCTCTCTGGGACCCGCTGCCTGGAGGTATCTGCTGCCCTGGAAGGGGCTAACCTTCATGCCACCGCAGAGCATGGCCACTGAGCTCTGCGAGGGCAGACGATGCTCAGGGCCCCATGGGCCAGCCAGCCCAGTGGCACTGTGCCACCTCGTTTTATTCATTCACAGCTGAGATTCAGTGCCACAGCTCTGAACCCTTCCTGTTGTCAAGCTATAGGGAAGTGACTGATGCCTTCCTTACTGCGCAGACGCTGAGCTGAGGGGACAGCCGAAAAGCTGAGCTCTCTGCTTGCATGGAAATGGCACCAGAGGCCACTTCTCAACTGCTGCAAGCGACCCAGAGCATACCCATTGGTGGTTACGCTAAAAAGGGATGCACAACAGCTTCCAAGGTCTTCATGAAAAGCAGAACAAATGCCCTACACTTCTCTGTCCACACATTTGTAGGTATGCGTACACACGGATCTCCCCCTCTCCATGCTGCAAGCTCCCATTCACTGGGCTCCTTTCATATGGAAATATCGGCTTCCTGCACAGACCATGGAGGGATCAGCAGCAGCATCCTCATCCGAGCACAACCATCCTCACCTGAGCACAACCACCCTCATCTGAGCACAGTCATCCTCATCCGAGCACAACCACCCTCACCCCAGCACAACCACCCTCACCCGAGCACAACCACCCTCACCCCAGCACAACCACCCTCACCCCAGCACAACCATCTTCATCTGAGCACAACCACCCTCACCCCAGGACCTTAACCCCAGCCAAGGCTTTTAGCCCTGGTGGCGGTCCCAGGAAGCAGGACTGGTGCTGCTGCAGAGGACCCATCTCAGCAGGCAGAAGCACGCCGGGCACTCACCTTCTTGAGCACGCTGTCGAGGGTCTCCGGGCGGCTGATGTCAAAGCAGATGAGCACAGCATCCGAGTCTGGGTAGGCCAAGGGACGGACGTTATCGTAGTATGCTGAGCCTGAGGAGAGGAGCAGCCGGTGAGCAGAACATCCCCCCCCACTGATGCTGCTGCCTGAAGGGGCAGGCTGGGACCCTCAGCCCCCTGCCAGGCACTGCAGACACTGCCATAGGGTGCAAACTGCTCTGCCAAGAGCCAGAGGATGTTGAGCCTTCGTTAGGCGCTGTTTGGTTCTGCAGAGGACGTGGTCCCTTCGTTTAGGTGTGGAAGTCAGAGGGTTTGGGCTCTCGCATTTATCCCTTTGCAGAGTGGAAATAAAGGCAAGGTTTGCATCTCTCTCCCACCCTAACAAACATCTGGCAAGGAAGAAGCGATGGAGTTGTGATGCCAGAGCATGCTGAGATGCCAGAGCTTGGAAGGGCTGCAAGGCTGGAGAGCAGCACGCGCCTCTCCACCACTGCTATTGTACATAAAGATCCTATTGTCATGCAGTTACTGCACTACTGATGGTGGAAAAGTGCAGCTGAGAGAAGACAGGGAACGCTGTGCTATTTTTTATCCTCTCTAGCTATCTTTATACACGAGAGCTTGCTCACACGGATGGTGAGAATTGAAGGCAAGTATAAAAAGAACTGCCTTGTACTCTGGATTTGTGCTGGTAACAGATTCTTTCTGGTCCATAAAAGATGTGCCAGGTTTGGGTGAGCAAGCTGTAAATGGGAGGGGATGACTCTGTATTCTGCAGGATTTCTCCGTGAGCAGGCAGAAAGCCCAGCCTGAATCCTGCCCAGCTTCTGCCCCACGCACACCTTCAAGGACCATTCCAGGCATTCAGGTCATTGCCCCACCGTGATGCTGTTTGAAGTGTGCAACTGCAGATGCCTCCGTCGACAGCAACGGAGCAATCGGCTCATTGCTTTGGGTTTGTATTGGGCTTTACAATGGGCTTCAGCTTCCTGGAGGGATGAGAAGCAGATGTTTGTTTCTGCCGAGGGGAAGCAGAGACACCAGAGTCCTTGTTGGCTCTGCTCCTCCCAAAGGATCGCCCACCCCAAGGCCAAGGAAACCGGACGCACTTCCTGCCACGGCCCCTTGGGATGCCCTTTCCCACCCTGGGAAGAGGTGGAGCACCCAGGCGAGGTGTCAGGGGGCTCCTTGAGGAAATACGGATGATGGTGGCTGATGTACCCCAGGAATCTGCCTGGGATAAGCATGGGAGCGCTGGTCCTCCGTGGGAGCTCCCACCCTGGCTCTTGTCTGCACAGGGGCTCACAACTGCATCCAGCACAGCAAAGCATGCCACGTGCCCTGCAAACACCCCAGATACCTCTGCAGAGGGGAGCAGAGCCGCACAGGGCAGGCTGAGGGCTGCTTTGTGTCTCCCCAAGCCCTGCCCAGCTCCAGAGCGTTTGGATCCACAGCAAAACCAGCTACCGGTATCTCCAGACACCACACTGCCGCCAGCGCCCAGGAGCAAAGGCACCCGGCACATCCCTGCTCCCATATGAGAAGCCACAGCGTGGGTCTCTGCCCCTGCAAAGTCACCGGGAAGAGCAGCAGCTGGGATGCAGCACAGAAGGAGCAGACCCTGACCTCTGCAGCTCGCAGCCGTCTTCCTAGAGGGAAAGTCACGTTCCCTGCATGGAAAGCAGCCAGGCCCTGCGGCGCCCTGCCTGGCTCCGAGGACAGGGGATGCGGGCTGGTACCCAGCGAGGTGACCCCCGCATCCCCAGGCCCAGCGATCTCTGACCCCGCTTCAGGCTCAAGCTGCTCCCGAGCGTGACGAGCAGAGCTGGCACCGGGGAGCTGCTGCCTCGCACCCTGCTGCAGCAGAGCAAGGTGACCCAGCTGCCCTGCAGGCAGCACCCAGCTTGGCAGGGCTCTGAACCGAGCTCTCAGCCTCCTGCCTGGGGCGCCTTTACCGGACGGGATGCGAGATCCAGCGCTGATCTGATGCGCTTGGATTTGCCGAGCCCTTTATCTCTCCCCAGCGCACATAAGGGGATCTGCCGGCAGACAGGGGCCCCAGCGCACGCTGCAGGAAAGCATTCCCACACACATCCTCTCCCTGCAGCTCCTCGGCTTTACATAAACACTGCAGATAAATCTGCCCCCTCCCAGCCCAGGAATGCTCCTTTTGTAGAGGTGGTGCTGGCTCCATTGAGCGCAGACATTGCCACAGCAAACTGTATCATAGCAACCTGCTGCTCCCTCAGCAGCCAGCCAGCTCCTCGGCACAGAGCCCTCTGCCGCCCTGCAGAGCCACCCTGCCATCCCCACCCCGGTGCCAGCAATGGTGCCAGCATCCGACCTGGGATTTGATGCTTCTGGGTCTTTACTGAATCGGGAAATTCCTTTGGGGAGATTATTCCTGCAGGTTTTGCATCTGTTACTTTTCCATTGAGAACAACAGCTAAAAACAGAGCCACCCCAAAACACAGAAGCCTCCAAAGGCCCCAGTGCCCTCAGCTCCAGGTCTGCAGTTCTGTTGCTTCTGAGCACTTGACACCTCTCAGATCCTCCAAGCAAGACCCCGCAGAGGCACTTCCGAATACACAGGAAGCCGAGAGCCAACCTTCCTCCCCTGCATGAGTCACCCTCCCACTTGGCACCCGGGTTTGCGAGAAGCAGACCCTAGGAGCATCTGTTTGTGATCAGATTGGAGCAACCAAACCCCAGCTTAAACACAAACCCACGCAGTTGTAGTCTGAAAGCCAGGGCGGGTGCAGCAGGAGCAGCTCCTCTTTCCCGTCAGCTGGCAGCTCCTCAATGCCTGGCACTGCCACTCAGAGATGCCACTCACGGGCAGGGGACTGAAAGGAGCTGTTTCATCTCTACCAGCACAGCGTTAATCTGCATTTGTTCCCTATTAGCTGTCCTCAGAGATAATGAGCCTCCTCCCATGGGCACCCTCCTTCCAACAATAGCATATTGCAAACCAGGAAAGCGAATACGCATGCAGAGCCATGCTCTGCTCCGTGAGGGGCTCCTGCAGCCCCAGCCAGCTCTGGCTTGGAACAGAGACGAGCACTGCCAAGCCCTACGTTTTTCAGCATTGCACTTGCCTTGCAGGGCTCGCTGTGAACGCTCCCCATAGAGCCAGCGATGCTGGGGCACATGCTGCTTTCTGCGGGGACAGCCAAGAGCATCCTTCACAGAGCGAAGCAGAAATACATCCCAGCTTTATGGGGTGCTGCATCAACAAGCCCAGATTGCTCCAGGTTACCCCCCTGTGCAGCAATGCCGGGAGCAGTGGCTTCAGAGGCTACATGGGATGTCTTCTTTGCTAGGCAAATCCCATTGCCAGCTCAGCCAGGTCTTTGTCCTCTGCCAAGGTGCAGCTCCCTTGGTATCCTCTCCCCGTGCATGGCAAGAAGCCTGCACAACCTCTCAGCCAGCATCAGACACAAGACTACCTCCTCCACTTCCATGGGGCCAAATCACCCTTCACTGAGCTTCACCAGCCATATGGCCCTCCAGTGCTTCCCAGGCAGGGCTCAGGTCCTTGGGAGCTGCTCAGCACCAGCACACATGCTCAGGGTCTCCTGAGGTGACGCAGGGCTTTCTGGAGCTCAATTCACAGCTTTTCAGTCGTAAGAGAAATTCATCTGAGCAACTGCTTACTAGCAGCAAAGGCCCTGCATGCAGAGGCACAGCTCGGAGCCCCCTTCCCACCTCCCCACGCTGGGCAGCTGCAGCAGAGCTCTGATGTGTGAGGAGGATGCTCACATTCAATCACTGCACTCTTTCCACACCTGAGTGCTCCAGACCCGGGTAATATTACATGAGGTGGCAATGAACACCGTTACTCGTTCCTCTGCCACGGCAGATGATGATGAAGGTGTTAATAACATATTTCATTTATATCACACCATTAAGATGGAAAAGGAGACCTCTGCGCAATTCCCAGGGCAGGAACAGCCCACGCGGCTGCTCCGGGATGGGGCTGCAGCTTCTGGTGGGTGCCCCCATCCTTCACCCGGCCCCAGTGAGGAGCTGAGCTCCAGGGCTCCCCAGTGCAGGCAGTGCAGCACAGTGGGGCCGGTCCCCATGGAGAGCCCGCAGGAATCTCAGCTGCCATCCGGGCCATCCAGGATGCTCCAGAGCTCCCGCTTCCTCTGCGGCTGCAACCAGAGGGCACAGAGTCATCCGAAAACACTTCCCACTGCTAGAACAGGGGAAATGGGTGCAGGGAAACAATGGCAGAGTCTACAGCAGAGGGAGAGGAGGAATTCAGCCCCAGGGAACACTGGAGATCAGAGTTAAACAGCCCCAAAGGTCATGCCCGGTCCCTTTATCTTCCTGGGACAGACTATGAAAGGCATTTCCCTTCACCCAAGTGGACAAGCAGCTCCCCACGGCACACAGGCACGGGCAGCGCTGCGGATACAGGGCCCTGCCTGAATGCTTTAGTTGCCTTTAGAAAGGCAGAAGGCAAGGCTTGAAAGAGAATGGCTCTGCATGCCTGGCACATGGCAGAGCAGGGTATGCAAATGCCCTCCTCATTCCCTGCGTCATCAGTGCTGATGGGCCCTACAAACAGGAGGCCAAGCCACAAGCCACTGCAGCCTTCCACACTGCAATAGATGCACATCAGGGAGACAAAGATCTGAAGCACCCCGTGTCCAGAGCCCGGCTTTACCCTCGGTGTGAAACCAGACCCTCTCTTGGGAAAGCAAACCAGAAGGTTTCTTTGTCTAAAGATTGATGATCTGCTGCAATACTGCTGAGCACCCTGCAGGTCCCAGCTCAGCCGGGGCTCAGAGGCAGATTAAAGATCCCCAATACCCCCGCTGATTATTGGCCAGAAGGGGAGGAAAAAGCAGATCCCACTGGTATAAAACACATTTGTGACACGGATAGTGCTCATTAGAGGCCAGCTTGGAAGAGGGACAAGTGGCAGAGACAGGAATTAAAACACCAAAGCACCGGTGACAGAGACACTGGCAGTGACAGGCTCTGGTTGTACCGAGTCCAAAACCAAGGCATCCAGCAAAGCTGGAGGGAGGGAGGGAGCAGCAGAGGGAACTGCAGCTACCCCTGGTGCAGGCACAGCCATT